GGCTCGAATGGTTCTTGAGAAACTTCGAATAAAGGCCATTTAGTTATCTCTGGAATGATGTAAAAACGAGCGTTCTAGCTCATTTTGCTTCCGAGAAACATGCTTTCCGAGCAAAAACGGGACGGAAAAATGAAATAATGAGTCTTTGGCCCCTTTTGAGCCACTCGAAGGCTCATCAATTTCTCTGCCTCTGAGTGTGTCTCATATTAGTTTCATTCCTTTCATCTGTATTAACGAAGTATTAAGTTCCGTAAATTCTGCAGAGTTGCAGGAGGCGATCGAAATGTTCCAGAAGATCCTGCAAATCGACCCGTACCGCCTGGACAACCTAGACACCTACTCCAACTTGCTCTACGTCCTGGAAAACAAGACGGATCTGGCTCATCTGGCGCACAAAGTGGTCGAAATAGACAAGTATAGAGTTGAAACCTGCTGTGTGATTGGTAAAAACCGCTTCTTCTAAAAACTTCTTCTACAGAAAACTGTGCTGTTTCAGGTAATTATTACAGTTTAAGGTCGGACCATGCCAAAGCAGTGTTGTACTTTAAGCGCGCTTTGAACCTGAATCCCCATTTCCTATCTGCATGGACGCTGATGGGCCACGAGTACATGGAGATGAAAAATATTAACGCAGCTATTCAGAGCTATCGATACGCTATTGGTAAGTAAAGTGGAGATGAGTGAAATTTTTGTTGGTGTTCCTGACTGGGGTTTCGCTTGTATCTGCTGCCAGCATCCTCAGGGGCTGTATAACAACAAGAACTGAAAATTCTACAGTGTGTTTCAATTTGCAGAGATCAACAGTAGGGACTACAGAGCGTGGTATGGTTTGGGGCAAACATACGAAATTCTAAAAATGCCGTTCTACTGCTTGTACTATTACAAGCAGGCTCAACATCTGAAGCCGAACGACAGTCGAATGATCATCGCGTTAGGAGAAACCTACGAAAAGCTTGACAAAACGGAGAACGCTCTCAAATGTTACTATAAAGCCTGCAGTGTGGGCGATATTGAAGGGTCCGGTTTGATTAAGCTGGCAAAGTGAGTAGCGGTTCTTGCAGAAACGAGAACATATATATGTTTTTAACATTTTCTAAGCGGGACTCCGAGTTGAATCGCCCCCGTATAATTTTCAGGCTATACGACAAGCTGAACGATACGGAAAATGCGGCGGCCGTTTTCATCGAATATTGTGTAAGGGAAGAGGATAAAAAGGAGAAAGTCATCGATGAACAGCCGGAATACTACAATGCCTTGCAGTATTTAGCGAATTACTATTTACGAAAAGGCCAATTGGACGATGCCTACACGTACGCATACAAATGCATCGAATGTGAAGAGGTAAAGTATGAATTGGCCCAAGTAACTAACCGGAAGGTTGCTTTAATATTCAGAGAATGTAGCAACTTGTTCACCGAAGCGACTCAAACTGGAATATTCAATTATTAGCGAAAATTACTCAAATTAGAGAAGAAAATTTAATTGCTTGACTGACTAAACAAAAACCGAAATAAAATATGAGCCGTGCACAATGGCCAGCTGACGCAAAAATCCTCATTCTTCAGCCTCTTCTGTTATTTATATTTATTTCTCAATAGTAATAGAGTAACCGGTTTGTTTTTTAAGACCAAAGAGCAAGGGAAAGCTCTATTGAAAGCAATTGCGGCCAAGAGGATAGAGCATGATGACGTCGAGCATGACCCGGAAGTGAACATATCTGTGGTGGACATGTCTATGGACTATTCGATGAAGAACGACGACAGCTCTATGAATCTCACTTGTTAAGGTTTGATGTGTTATTTTCGGTTTTTTTTCTAAATAAAATACTGTTACTAACCAAAGACTCTAGTGCGAGGTTGTCAACACCACTAACAGCATTCAATTGGGTTCACAGCTGCGTCAAAGCACTTGCTGTCACCAGCTTATTTACATCGTATTCAGATCGTATTTACTAATGTGTCATCTAACAAGTTTCCAAATAGGAATTTTTATGTTTTCCTTTTTAAAACCCCATTACTTATTATTGCGTCGCTGACGTGCATTTATTCGCGATTATTGGATTCATTTTCATAAAGATAAGATTAGTCGCATAGTGACATACACTCGATGTTTACGAATCATGCCACCAACATAAGGTGCAACTAGCCAGTGCGAAAATGGGGGCCCGCGAGTGTGTTTACGGTATATTCCAGCGGAACGATCTGCTTAAGGATACAGTGAGGGGTGAGAGTGCGCGTACGGTGTTACTGGGGCAGATTTGCATTATTGAGGGTTTCCTGAAAGAGGGAGTGCTCCAGGTGCGCCTGCTAAAGGACGGTGCGACATGGGATTCGCATACCTTCATTTCTGACTCCGAGCAAGTGGTCATTCCGATCTGCGATAAATTATGGCCCTACATCGCGTCTATCAGTTCGCCCCAGGAACGAGTCAAGTTTGCAAGAGACAAGGTGTTATGTGAAAAGCTGCGGATGGTGGATCTGGGCACAACTGTGGGATTTATCGACTCCACGGACGTTAAACTGGGCACCGTTCGCTATAAGGGCAATATTAAAGGGCTGGGCTATGGATTTGGCCTTGAATTGAATGTAAGTAGCCGCATGTTTATTATTTATAGTCTTGTCAGGTGTACATCAACAGATTCTTCAGTCTAAATAATGGGGCAATAATATGAGTAATTTCGACAGTTGTAACACCAGTTGCGTATAAACCAAAACCATGTACAAACAATCGGAAAGCTGCTCAATGTATTTGTATTCAAGCGTTGGTCCATCTAAATCAATGCTAGTGTTTCAATTAATTGATTTTGTCTGCTGAATTAGCGGGATATGGATGGATCAAAACACATTTGCTGCTTTAAAAATGGTCGAGGTTTCCTGCATTTCATCAGGTTTTCATCACAGCAATTAATGCCAATTAATCTAATTGTGCAATTAGAAGTTGAAATGTTCCCATCTTGTGAAGAATCTTCCATATTCTTCATTTGTTATGGCTAACAATTAAGTTATATCGTATATTTATGAGGATTTATAACCAGCAGAATCTTATAGGAAAAAAAGCCCGGTAACAAGTGCGGGGGGCACAATGCAGGATATCAATACTTCCAGTGTCTGCCCGGTAAAGGCCTGTTTACGACCATAGAAAAAATCATACCGACCTACAAGACTAGTGAGAAGGAAGGTTTGCCTCCCAAGCCTTCGCAAGTCCCCGAATTGGATAATCTGATGCGGCAAAACCTCTCAAATTTGACTAATGGGGCTTTGGGTGAGCATTTGCAGCTAAAACGGTTATTTTATCTACTAACTGAACCACTGTGAAAATCTAGAAAAACCAGCGCGAGAAGAAATCGTCACGAAATACGGCGAATACTCGAAGAAACTGTCTACTCCAGCGAAAAACACGCAGCTGAACCACAACTTGAAAAGTTCGCTGTCTTTGCAAAACATCTTGGAGGTAGAAGGAGGCACGGTGAATACCAACAATGACTTTGATCAGAACACGATCATTCAACCCGATAGAAGCCAACTGATGAATGTCGAGAAGCTGAAGGTAAACATCTAAAAAACCACGGTTTGCTAAGCTGAATTGGGGATTTTTTCCAGAACAAATCGGACATGGATTTGTACGATCTGATTGGCAATTCCTGGACCAATGGGGAGCTGGTCAAGCCGGATACGTATTCCAGCCTGAGGAAGAAGCTGGACAAGAACGACAATATCAAGGAGACGTACAACTCCTTGTCGAATAGTAATAGCACTTTAAGGTTTGCGAAATTGCTTTATTCAATAGCAGGTTGCGTGAAAGCACATAGCTTGATCCTCCGTCGTAGCTTTTTTTACTAGTTGCGGTCTTCCAAATTGTTTTTCTCATAAAGGCTTGGCACAAGTCGACCACTAATTCTCTGATTAGTTCAGTATAGCGAGCAACGGCTTTCATTTCTGATATGTTTTGTCAAAAAACCGGTGAATTTGAATATGTTTCCGATAGTTCCAATGGCACGTTGACCAAAAGCAGCCGGAATAAAAGCATGAACCCGTTAACCCACCTGCTGGACAACGGAGGCACGTTGAAAAAGAGCAAGTTTTACACGGATGGTTTGGAAAATGGACTGGATAAAGGGGGCGGCAAAACGAACACGAAAAAGGTGGAAAATGGGAAAAGTAAGTCGCATTCTAGGGTTTTATCATTTGCAGTTTCTTTTTGCTTGAACCATTTCAATTACGCTGCTTGGGTGCTACGCCTTACAAAAAAATCTCTGATGACAAATTCGTCGGAATTAAAGGTTCAAGTCGAAGGTGGCTGAAAAAGCCAACACCAAAAATGCGATTTCACAGACAACTACGCACGCAAGATGTTATCGATTTTTTTTGCTAAATAGTTCAATGATCTCGCAGTCAGTCCTGAGAGTTTCGAATTTATAACCCCTTCAGGGGCCTTTTGAGGGATTTCCAACTTATGCTATTATCAAAATAACGACTTTTTGCAACTATTTGTACAAACGAAAATGTCGTCAAAAGAAAAAGTGCAGGACCTTGATTGTTTTGGGCATTCATCAGCATAAGCGCCATTTAATGTGTTCTGAACGTTTCGGATTGATCACACTTTCAAACATTTTTAAAAGAATTTGCAAACTAAGATTTACGGGTCTCAGAGTTTTTGCATTCACTCCAAAAATGTGATTTAACCGAAAATCTAGGCAGGCTAACAACCCGGCAATTTTTTCATGCAATAACTGGAAGACTAGAAGCGTTTGGCAAGATTGCCATGTGCAAAACTCCATCGTCGTCAGAATAAGAGATTGAATGTTATCGTGGATCGTCTACGGCACTGTTTCAGTATACAGAACGGGCCAAAAATAACTTGCTAGACATTTTGAGTCAGTGAGTGCGTTTCGGGCAAATATCACATCATTTTTAGCCAGCCACTATTTTTAGCCGATCCTGTTCTAGTTCAGTTCGATGACGGTTTTCTTCGCGGATTCGCTGTTTGTTTAGCGAATGTGTGCCTTACCGTGTGCTTGATCGAGTGATGGTGCCCTGGAATCGCAAGAGGCTGATCTGTTGCGCAACCAAACGCCTAAAAAGTGTGTATTTTTGAAATATTTTATTATTTATTGCTCTGTTTGCCGGAATGGGGGTAAACATGCTTTTAACTGAATAAACCCTCAAAAACATGTCCCTCGCTCAGCGCAAGCCGAACAAACAGTTGAACAACAACAATGACATCGGATGCAGAAATCGGTACAACGACAACGTAATTTATGCGAATACAGAGGCGTGCGCGTTTTTCGATCGCGATTTCAACCCCCTGCCGTTATCCGTCATTGAACTGAACGAGTCCGAACCGGACCATCAGCATACGCTCAAAGACCGAAGTAAATCGATTTGGTTTTGGCGTCAATCAGGATCATCAGATTCGGCGTTATTCTGTTGCAGAACTGATCGAGCACCATGCAGGCAAACCTACAGCGCAGTTCTACATTGTGGAAAAATCAAAGTACACCGATCCACCCGTGGGTGCCTCCAATGACCTGGTTGTGGGCAGTCTGGTTGAGGTTGAAACCGATGTCACAGACCAGCCATTGTATGGTAAGCCACCCTTTTTCACATTCAATTGAGTTCGCGATCAACAAGTTGCTCACTTTATAGAAAATCACATTACAAACTTTGGGAATTTTCAAAAGAAAATTGCGCCAAACTAGTCTAAGTAATGATTTGCGCTTTTCGCCAGTGGATAGAGCGATGTTTTGTCCAAGGGCTGATCATGACCCCTCCCCCCCATTCAATTCTCTATCCAACGATGCCAAAACGAATTCTGT